TCTTTCTGCCATTTTTCCACTAGAATAGTCGCTACAGGACATTACTAATACAGGCATTGACAAAACAATATTTCTCTTTGCGTCACCATTTTGTTTTGACCCTGTTTCTTCTATTCGAGAGAACGTAATTCGAATGAGGGAAATAGAACAGACAGGAATTTAATGGGCGTGAAATCTCACTGACAGTATTATAATTTCAATTGACTGGATTTGACGAACCAAAGTCTGATTTGTATAATTGGACATAGAAGATATGTTCATCCTTTAGGAGTTGTAAATAATATAATCAAGTGAATGGAACCTTTTTTGATTACTGAAACAATCATTTGATTCATCTGCAAATGAAGTTCAATGGGTTACGCTTATAATATTTCAATATTGTGTTTTGTTCTGCCAAAGAGAATCAACCAGAATTATTTTTAACGTGTGCAGAGAAGATATTTTATTTGAAACAGTGCATCAAAATTGCTTTAGAAGATTTAAGACGGGTGATTTTAACGTTACCACCGTGGAGTATTCCAACAAGTGTTAGGAAATGCAAATAAACGATCTACGAGATATCGGACGGAAACTCTTCACAATCGTCTTATCAGCTTACGAAACAGATGAAGGTTCAGTATTCGACAATAATTACATTCTTACAAATACTAATAAACAAGATATAAGTATAAGAAAGAAACTCATTTATTCCCCGACTAAATAATACGGTAAAATTGTCCATGATACTGATTCTTTATATGCTAAATTATTTATATGCTCTATTATCCGAAGATTGCTTTATCTGAACACTTATGTATATCCCTCTATTAGTTTGAATGCGGGAGAATTTACTGTAGTAACAGTGAAAGTGAAAGTTTGATAAAGAGAGGCTACATATTGTGGATCTCGACGAGAATGACGATTTACAACACACTCTTTGTTAATATAATTAATATTTATTCAACAAATATATGACTATTATACACGTGTTCTCTTCTTTTCTCGTCTTCCTTAAATCAATGTGGGGTTAATATTTTATCTGTAAGCTAAAAAAAAATCCCGATGTCTCTACCAGTCAAAAACAACTCCATAGCTATACACCTTAGGCCAATAAGCCTAATAGACAATCAAGTTTACATATCCCAGTATCCTGTTTTCATTTTTTCAACTGCGTGGTTTATATTTTTTTTTTGTACATCTCAGTAACAAATTGTGTCAATTTGTATTCGTTACTCCAGTGAAGATCACCGTGGTTTTCTGTTGTTCCGTCATACAACGTCCCTGTATATACTTGCAAATCAACACTGCACTACGTCACTCATTCTATTAATAGCTTAGGCGTAGATTCCTCGTCACTATTATAAACCTCGAGTACGCACGCATATAAGTAATAACGGCTATCTCTGGATGGAGATACGAAACAACATAGCGATGTAACGTCTGCTTCATCATTTCCTGCCTTCGATCGTTCCGTAGACGCGTAGCCTTTAAAGGCCCATTTATACACAACCGGGTCGTGTCCAATCCGGGTCCGGGGATCTTCCAGGGATCATCCGAGACCAATCCGGGATAAACGTGCTAGTCAGTTTCTATAGGCAGTGTTTTTCAAATTATAAATTAAACATTTTTTTTATTAGTCCATAGAGAGGACATGCAGGACTATATCCTCATTTTTTCTACATTTTTTAAAAATAAAAAATTTAATTTTTTAAATTTTTTTACGGCGCCGAGAGTGTATAGTACTAGATCTATCTAGAACTAGATGTTGGATTTTATTATGCATTTGTGGTATATTACATATATTAACATTACTAAAGGAATGTAGTCCAAATTATGTCATGTTTGGTATCATTTTAATCAGAAGAAACTCACCAACATGTTAAAATAATTTACTGATATCTCAGAAACTCTTCACCTGAGACTGCATATGATATAATACTTTTTTGTGCAGTATTTGATACTTTCTCGAAATTCGGGATGAGATATTGTGCAATCCATTTAAAAAACTGAACGTGACCATTATATTTTGGTAAAAATGTAATGTAGTGAAAAACATATTATTGCATTATACGTCCTCCTTGATACTACGTATACAACTTTTGTTTACAATATTTGTAATAATTGTTTTAATTTACGAGTAATTGAAGTGGTAACGTTAGGTGAACCACCCTGTATATAAATTTATGAAACATACAAGATAATGAACCAACAACTGCAACGGAAACAGTGTAACCTTTGAGCCGTTGATATACCAAAGTGACTAACTCCACTTTCTGAATTTTTTCAAATTCTTGTGCCACATTACTCGATTGGTGCTTAACTGTTTATATTTAAAATAAATTTCAAATATACATTTCACGGAATTAATCACTTTGGCAAATGAACTGTTCTTTTATTTCAGTTTTACTTTAGAAACTCTTTAACTGATGAATTAAACTTTTCTTTCGAAAGCAGAGAAAATACTGGTTACTTAAGAAATATATACTGGGTCATTGAAATAATGTTAAATTAGTCAAGGTCACAGCAGGGTCAAGTTATCGTTAGGTTTTAGTTACGGGATTCTAACACTAGAACTACCAGCGTTGAATGTATACTAAATTGATTTTTAACGAGTTTGGTGCTTCTGACGTTAAACGCCTACAAAACCGATATCATTGGTAACGCATGTTATGAATTAACGGGTGTCTGAACGTTACCTTTAGTCAAGGGAGGACATATTGTCTGACATATGACAATCAATTCTTTGAAGTAGAAGCAAATATTATTGGCCAGACGATCGGATTAACCCAGCCGTAGGGACACATGCTGGTCTTTTTTATGGTAAAAATATGTAACGAATTGAATGGCCTTCATCTTTTTTGCCCGCGTGATAGTTTTCTAACAGTACATTTTTTTAACCGTCTGTGTAACATTGTACACCTCTTTTTATATATTTTATTCTGATGCTTGCTCAAAATTTAATCTAACAATGTTCAGATATCCTTATATTTCGTCGAATAGAAATTTAACGGTTAACGTGAATAATATATTGGCGAACCAACTAGAAGGAATATTTACTGTCGTTGTTGTTAATAGAGTTCTCTAATTATCGCTGCAGTCTACTTAACAATAAAAATCAGCTGATATCGGGATGCAAAGTAATTTTTAACGACTAAAAATTCCAATTTATTCTAATTCAGCACAGATAGTGAAATAAAATTTAAATCGATATAAAGCATAAAACTTGTATACAGAAAAACGTATACATAAGACGTCAAAGAAAAACAAGCTAAAACTCGCATGGCAGTACGTTTAAATGTTATTCATTCGATAAGCAAATTACTCACGCGACAACAGTTACAATTTATTGTGAACATTCGCGAATACCAGTTTGTATCATTATATACAATTCACGAAACAAGTGCAAAATTTGTGGAGTTGTCATGTGTAACTCTCTTTTTCGCGTGTAATTATCAACTTGATTTGCTTATTCCGTGTTCGTTTAAATATTCCGATACTATTTCCGGTTTCTGCACATTGCTAATGGATAATAAACAAATAACATATGAGATTACTTGTCGTTCGTGACGTGGGTTGTTCGAATAAAACAGTTTTTTTAAAGTTATATATTTGAAGAATAAATCATCCGTGATATAGAAATACAAGGAAGTGTAATTCATGTTGGTGTGAAGCGTTGTCGGTTTTATTTTTTCTTTTCATGGACGAGGTAGTCAAATAATTTTTAATATATCCAATTAATAATAAAGTTTATTCCATCAGCATGTGTTATTTGAATTCTATTTAACACTAGAACTACAGACAGTAATCGCATATCTATTTTGATCGGTCAATAAACATGACAAACTTTTGAACATTTATAAATGTATAAATTAATTTATTCCTTCACGTTCATATCGTAATAAAAGTTCCAAAAGATCTGAGAAAATATATTGTTGTAGCATTTTAATAATCGTTGTAAGAGTGTATTGACAAGTCATTTTTACTTGTTCGGTAGTTCAATTGTTAAACTAATCAACTTAACACGTTAATTAAACTGAAAATTCATCGTTGCACTATGAATTCTGTACAATGGTTAGGTTTGTAAATTATTAATGCACTATTTTTATAATATGTTCATCCTCCTAGGAGGAAAATTTCTATAATACTTGATTCCTACTTTTTCAGTATTATTTTCGCAAATATAAATGTATATTACATATTTATGATCTGATCATTATATAATAAAAATATTTTACTTTTTCTTTTTTATCTTGTGTCTTTGGTTTACTTTCCTACCAAAGATACAAAATCAGAACTGAAATTCGAATTCGATTACGCAATGCACTAATGTTCGTACATTTTTTAATACATACCTATTGAAAACCGTATATATATATATGTTATATGAGAAATTGGGTTCGATGAAATAAATACTTGAAGCAAATGTCTGTTTGTTTTGGTAACTGTAAAACGGGTTGAACTTGAATTCGAAGAAAATAAAGATGTTTGTGTACACTGGTTGGTAACAATTAAACGTTATACGTTCGCTTTTACTATAAATATTGCGGGATTGAGATAGTTTTCTGAGAAAGACCAATGAACGCGGCCAACAGCCTCTATTAACAAAACGCATACATTTTCAACGATGTATGACTTTAAAAATAAAATAAAGTGTATCTGGCTACGCACAGTTTTTTTTACTGTGGCAGTTGATATGTTAATATTTTTGCCCCCCCCCCCCGCGACTAATAACCTGGTTACGCCCATGCCTGTGAATTTACAAAAGTGGGTAACGCATGTTAATGTCAATGTGTTTCAAATAGAGTCCAAACTGTCCAAGGCGAACGGCCTGTTGCTTATTTACCTTTGGTGGATTTAGGATATGGTTTTGGAATAACCTATTGTCCGAAAATTCCTTACAAAACACTTATTCACCCTTAATTAGTTCGAATACGGGTGACCCCACTGTACTATGTTTTGTATGCCTCTTATCTGTCGATTGCTAAAACTAACGTAAAATTTCCCCTTGTTTCTGTTTACAGTGATTCAAGAGCGGCACGGAACAGAGCGGAGAAAAATCGCCGCGACAATCACAATGCAAACATCATGGCCATGGGCCAGCTCGTACCTGCTGTCGCCGAGAGTCCGAAAAAGGTCGACAAGATTTCCATCTTGAGGCTGACTGCTGCTTTCCTCAGGTCGCATTACAGTAAGTTCTAATATTCATTTTTCAACACATTATAGATGTATCACCAAAAATGTCTCCAATATTCATTTACCAACAGCATTGTAGACGTATCACCAAAAATTTCTCCTATTTCCCCATTCTAATGCTGGAAGGCAGAACCGCAAGAATAAGATCCTATGGATTTTTAATGAGAATAATCAGTCTGATCGTCTTCTGTCGCTGATTAAACGTCACGCGTTTCTTCGTTTGATTACAGTTTTCGGACGCGGAAAAATCGGCTTTCTACCACCGAATCTCGGCATAGCGGACCTGGAGAATTACATTTTCGGCGTGAGTACTCGTTGATCGATCCACTACAGTCCCCGTTATCGTTACATGTTGAACACGTTAAAATACGTTTTTGTTAACCGTAACAGAACATAATCAAAAACGGCTTCTGTATCGTGGTCACGACAACAGGGAAAATTGTCCACGTCAGCCCGCACGTCCAGGAACACCTCGGCCACACTCAGGTAAAACATTACAAACATATTCTGTTTCTTTGTCGTAACAAAAACGTAACAAGATATTCCACGGTTGAGTTTGCCAAAAAGTTCGTGCCATTTTAAAAAAAAAGCTGACATAGCCAATTTCATGTAAACGGTTTTCCACGCTTGATGTCGATACTTGGATAATTCGTTCAATTTCCCGCGATGTGTAACGAGGATTATTGTCGATTAAACATTATTACCTTCTTTCGAAATAGAACAGGAAAATATGCCGAAAACGTTCCTTTTGGTTAAACTTTACTTTTCCGGACCAAAAATTATCTATCTTTTTTTATACCTCCTGGTAGTATTCAACAAGTAGAATCTGAAAATGCAAATGTTAAGTTTAGAAATCCAGCTGTTCAAAAGTTATGCGTATGTAAAGCCAAGCATTTTTAGCGTACTTTACAGGTTAGTTTAACGCCATATTGACTTCTATACTAAATTCGTCCAATCAGTGGTGTCACTGCTTGTAAGGAGATGCACGTGATGGCCGCCATTTTGGCGGGATAATTGAAATGACAATTAATTGTTTATAAGACAATTTAATTGTTTATAATCTGATTGTCCACATAGTATGAATTAAGTTGTATCACATCAAATTACCGATATTCGAATAATTGATAATCAACCATGGTTAGTGAATTAAATATGATCTGCTTTGTTTCTTGCGCTAGTCAGAAATCGTAACATTACCGTGTTTCTCTATCTTTTTTAATTATTGAATTCTTAGTGTTATTGTTTCACTATTCCACGTAAGTAAGCAATATCATATTAAAGGACATAGTCTCCGACACATTTGCAGTATGATTTTAAATTATATTGTGACAAAGTTAGCTGAATTAAATTGTGAAATCTTCCGTTAGGCATGACCATCGAAAAGATAACATTTTTTTAGTATTGGGAGCTTTTTCTAAGAAACAAAACCTACCCTAATCGAGAATCGGTTGTTGTAGGGTTTCAAAAATTCATACACAATCTAAAAATGTTAGTATTTTATAAAAGTAGCATGTATAGGATAATGTCTCGTTTGGTTTGACTCCCAAGTTTCAATACATAATATATAGAAGAAAATCAACATTCTTCTATTTCTTTGGAAGTTACTTAAACAAAATCTGGAATTCATTTTTAGAACACTCTGTACAACAGAAACAATGAATTTCTTGGTCGGATTCTAACGTACGACGAGAAATGGCGTCATAATTTCAGAAGCTTTGTAAAGAGTGTGTTTTTGGCTTCGTATTAGATTTGTTGGCCCATCGACTTCTATGAAATTGATTTGGCACTTAAAAGATAATGAAACTCCATCTACACAACCAGGAACACCACAAGATTCTCCACGCCAACCTGGTAATCTTAAAACTTCCATTCTCTGAAGGGCATTCGTCTACCTGTCTGGTGTCTCGAGTCGAAAGAATTGATCAAATATTACCATAATGTCTCGCCACGGTTGCAGCTTGTAGTGTAAGTCCTACGAAGTTTCGGAGTTATCGATCAAATGAACGCAACATAAACACGTCGTCATGACAACTGGCCATGCACCCTCGATACATTTCGCGATATACGTATAAAAAGTTACCCAAAATTGAATCGCGTTTACTTAATTCAGGATCTTGATTCATTAGCCTGTCAGTTTCATTAATCATTAAATAAAACTTCATGAATTTCACAAAAGTTATGTCACGTTTCGTTCTTGTCACACAAAAATTTATGTCAATTTTCTGCATCCTACACTTCGACAAGGCCCTCACTTATACCGCATACAACTGATACAACCAAGTTCCAACCCTGTATTGTCTACTACGGACGCCATGAACGTAACTAACGCCATAAAGAATCCTAGAGGGAAAAACAAACACGAAATGGTAAAATCTATCCAAGAGACCTGCACAGATCTTATCGATAATGTCAAATACGTAATCCTTACCTGGGTTCCCTCCTTCCAAGGCATACCTAGTAACGAAAAAGCCGACACCATCGCACAGGGAAGCAATATTTCTTCCACCAATTGAAATAAAAAACAAATCTTGTACCATGGACTCACGAATACAATCACAAGTCAACTTAAACTCATTACCGGCCAAGCATTAGAATAGAAATTGTAGGACTATGTATATTATTTATTTTCAATTAAAATACAATAATTAAGACATTTAAATGAAATTTTAGTAAATTAAGAATGTGGAATTCCAGTAACAAATAAAATATCAACGGCTTAAAATATTCTACAAAATTAAATAATTATTCATTATGATAAGCCCTAAAACATGCTGAATATAAATAGACATTGGATTTGTCACATGTATAAATTGTTTGACTTTTGCATTTTATGCATCTTTTTCTTGATTTTTCTGGCAGCTCCACAATGATATGCCCAATATTGTCTCTTCTCATTTCTTGAGCGACTTCATTCTCACTTGAAAAGTTGCCTTTACGCTATTTAAAAAAAAAATTAAAGTTTAATGTTGCGTTTATGCAAAAACATCTGTAATGAGTTATGAGAAAAATGGAATAAGATTATGGACCACGACCAAAGAAACAAAAACCTGACGACATAATACAAGCCTTCTATCAATCAGTACCCAAGTATCAGTACTCAAATCCCAGGAAGAGAAAAAGAAAAGGCGATTATGATCAGACTTATCAGAACCAACGTACTGCAACCACTGTAATAAGAAAATAACGATCAACCATCTTATTATACGAGTACAGAAAATTCCAAGTGCAAAATCAAAAGATATAAACTGAGGCTATGACATTACAGAAACAGAAAACGAACACCCTAAACCACCTAGAAGACATTAACCTCTACTACAATATGTAACTGCCTTAATACGAAAGAAACACCAACCAAATTCGTCGCCAATGACCTAGCAATAGATGTGACGTAAAACTTAAAATTTAAAAAACAAAATTTCATAAATCAGAGATAACCCAAATATAATACCAAATAGAAAAACCCAATAGAGAATAATCCAAGTTTACACTATCTCAAGACATTTACAATATCTCAAGAAAAAGAAAAACCATTTCTCTCTCTCCTGCCTCAAAACGATTTAGTATACATACCTTACCAGTCCCGATAAAATTTGCAATTGAAAGCTGCTACCCTTTCTGCCACAGATATTTTTCACTTTTATCTGATAACAGTTCAGCTCGTTTTGTACAAGAAGCGAAAAACCCTCGATAGCAGCAGCGAAGTTACAAAACTTTTTATTCGACCTTTTTTTTCTCTTTATTTTGCACTCTGCGCCTGTCGTTTACATTTCAATACGCGTTCGCTCCGCAGCATGGTTTTTTATGTTTCTCTTTTTCCCTCTCGCGATCACCGACAGTGATTTATCCGGGTTGCAGATCGATTGATTTACCAGATCCTCGAGACGTTACCTTCGCTCGTATTTCTGCTTCCTCGTGGTAAACACTCGATCGAGATGGTATTTATAATTTTCTCGATGGCATAACGACTGTCATGCAGCCGCGAAAGTCTCGGAGACGTGGCTTGGGAAATATTCTACCAACTTCGAAACGGGAATAAATTCGCAAGAAATCAATTTTGTTGTAAATAAATCACGGACGTTTACATAAGTCCACATGGATTCATGTTCCATGGACCAGTTCACGAAATTAAGAATCGAATTAAACTTTGTTTCGTGTACGTGTATTAACCCATTTGGTCCCAACGTTACGTTAACGTAACATTTCATTCGCAATTATTTTTCATTGAATTTACGTTATTGAATTTTCTTTTTCATGTTGCAGTTATGAAAGAGGATTTAAAAGAGTTGCTTTATATATTTTTTGTCGTCACTATTGCTTGACGTTTCGAAGTTTGAAGAAATTGAAGTTATTTATAGCACTATGGTAAACCAGTTTTTTCTTAAATTATGGAAACTTTTTAGTGTATCTTTTTCATATAGTGGGCTTCCATAATATGGTGCCTAGTATTATAATACATTTTTTACATTTCGGCAAAATAATATGCATGTTATTTACGTTTATCAATAAAAAGTTGCCCAAAATTGCGTAATCGCAACATTTTGTTATATAAATCGTACCGATCAAAAAAAATGTTTGATAGCGTTAATATCCTTTCTTATACACTTTTGTAAGTAATAAATAATTATATGTGTAAAAATCGCTTTATTTCACTGCTTGGGACTTAATGGATTAAGGATTACAGTATGACTTCGAGAAAATGTATTTTTACCTGTGAATATTAAAATCCTGGGCAATGTATTGTACGTATTCATAACTTATGCAAGTAAATGAAACAGAATGGAAATACGTCTTCAACAAAGATTGATAAGTCTCTTATATCGTTTTTTAACCTTGCCACGGTCTTCAGGTCTATTTCGACCCAATCACATTTTCGTTTCTTTAACGGTCTTAATCTCGTCTCTTCGAAAATTGTTCTTTGGTTTGTAAAATGTGTAAGGATTTGTGTTTCTCCTTCTTTCTCGTTATTTCAAATGTATAGCTGCATTGGGGACAGGGTTGATTCTTCAATTGTGGAGCAAAATTCTTTTTAATCGTGGAGCAATAATTCTCTTCTGTGCTGGTTTTTGTGAAATTTTCTACGAACGTTAGGTATCGTTCTAAAAATGATAGTTCAAACGTAAATCAATTTTCTAATATGAAAAATACAGTTTGAAAAAAGAAAAAGTTAGCGACGAATCTGTGATAATCGCGCTGCGCCAAACATTCTTATTCGATGGATAGTCGAAGTCAAAAATAACATTATCCACCAGCAGACAAAACACGATCTTCATTATTAACACTAAAACTACCAAAGCAGCCAAAATGACTGGTAAGTTCACTTTTACAACGACGACTAAAACATTTCTCAGATCTTCCGCAACTTTTATTGTGATATGAATGTTAAGAAATTAGTTAATTTATAAATTTGAATATTTTCATAAGTTTGTTATGTTTATCGATCTGACAGAAATAGATATATGTTTATCATTGGTAGCACCAGTATCAAA